TGCCTGATCTCTTGTTCCTGACTCACAGCCTGTCCCTCAGTCTTCGTCTCCTGCCTGACCCGTGCCTGATACTGATGCTGAATCTGACGCTTGACTTACGAACCTGTTTCTGCTCTCTGGACACTGCTACCTGGATTGTGATTTGGGTTTTTTTTTGGATTTCTGACCACTCAGCTCTGACCTTGGATTGCCCTCTGGATTACCGTAACAAGTCAGCTCCCTTACCCGGATCTGAGCCCTTCTGGACCATCATCAGTTCTGGATTCACCAACACAAGTTCGTCTGCAGATTTCTAGAAACCTCCATCAAACAGGAAAGGAACAACATTGTCCTCCAAAAACTCCAGCATGACCCAGGAAACCTTCAAGATTTGAAGACTGTTTGTGTGGAAGAATGGGCCAAAATCACACCTGAGCAATGCATGCCACTAGTTTCTCCATACAGGAGGCGTCTTGAAGCTGTCATTGACAACAAAGGCTTTTGTACAAAGTATTAGATACATTTCAGTAAGTGTGTTCAATACTTTTTCCCTGTGCAATTCCACATTATTCCAAATAACTTCATTTCTGGACATTTATGGTTTGATTTCTTTGTATGTATGGATCACTTGGGTTTTTACCGACATCTGGTGAAAATTACGTCATTAACACCTCTAGTAATATATTTACTGAGAAAAATGTTGATGTGTTCAATACTTATTTTACCTGCTGTGTGTGTGTATATATATACTGTATCTGTTAGCCCACCCTACACATGTCCCACCATACATCACATAGTCTGAGCTTTAACACATCTGACAAGACCTTGAGAGAAAACAAAGTTTGACCAAAAGAGCTACATCTCTGTCCTTTTTCATTCTAAGATTTTTTTTAAGTTTTTGTTGTGAAATGAAAAGCAGAATTCAATAAAGGAAAGCAAGGCCTTTAATTTTATATAGTTATGGTAAACAGTAACAAAAATGATTAAAATGAACTGCATGAAACTAGATATACTAATAAAAAAATAAAAAAGATTAGATCAGCCAAGTTTCTCATAAAAACAGCATATTTCCAAACACTCCATGTTTGCTTTTCCAGCTCCTCAGCTCATCCTCAGACAGCATCCTCACTTATTTCCCTTTGTGCTTCTTGAACAGGGCGTAAAGGACCTTCAAGGTAACAGTGACGTCCTGAGAGACGATATCTGTCACAATATCCACAGGAGACATGTTACACAATCAGCAGTGTGACGGTGATTTATCAATGTTGGCCGCTCACATAAAAACACCCAAACAGGTCAAAAGATCAGGAGGACAAAGGAAACAAAGAGCATTAGATGAAAACCTGATCAGGGTGTCCTCGGGGAGATGAAACCCCGGGTGTGGGATGCACTAAGGCAGTGAATGTGACATAAAGATTGACTCCTCCACTCGCTGATCTAATTACTGCACACAGCATGTTCCGACATAAGACCCCGAGTGCTGGATTTCCTTCCACCATCACAGCAATTATGCCTTTAATTAAAAAGACACTAAAAGCTGAAATTAAATTAACTCCTTCCCTGGGCTTAGATGAATCGTGCTGGTCTTTGCATTATCAGTTATCAGGCTGAGGATTTAGTGCAGAATTGTAGCAAACAGCAGGTGGGCAAGAACGTGGGAAAGTCTGAGAGGTAGTGGGAGGGCTGCAGAAACTCAGTGAGAAGCTCATCCTGTCAATAATAGATCCACAGAGAGGAGAGGCTGATCAATTTCCTGTTGACTGATTTACACACTTAGATAAGTCAGTAATTGATCCAATCACTCACTTCCTTTTCACTTTCCTGCGCTCGTCTCAATGAGTTACGATGGCCGGACTGAGACGATCGTCTGCAGTGATATTACTGAGACTCGAGTCACTCTCATTTGTATTCTGCAAACAGCTCCATCTTTTCCTCCAAAACACTTTGAAACTCTTCACTGCCTGATGCAGAGATTAACTAACTGCTGCAGCATCCTCTCTTCTCCTGACACAGGAAATGTGGATGCTGAATGTTTTTTAACACTGTTGGAACTCGGGTGATTTTTTTTTTTATGAATCAGATGTAAACATTTCAGAGCATTTTGAATAAAAACTATTTTTCTCACCTTGTGGGTCAATATTTGGCAGCTGCAGGCCAGAATTATTCAGGAGGTCCAAGGCTAAGGTCACATTATGAAGCTGAAAGAGAAAAAAAACACTTTGTAAAATAAGTGTGAGTTTCTCTTTTTTATATTTGTTTAATTTGGTCAATGTCGACATTTTATCTTCATTAGAGCACTTCTTACATTAACATAGCTCTGTTCTCTAACCTATCATTAGAAAGTAGCTGGATTGTAACAAATGTGAATAAACTCTACTATGAACGTAATCCTGAAGCTGCTCTTTCATACACCCAGCTGGTTTTATCCTTTCATTACCTCCACTAAGGAGGTTATGTTTTTGGCCACGTACAGAGTTGTATAAAGTACCACAAAGTGAGTAAAAGTACAAGTATCTTACCAAAAAATTACTTTGATAAAAGTTAACGTCTCATTTAGGAATATTACTTGAATAAAAGTCTTAAAGTATCTGATATTTTTTGAACTTAAGTATTAAAAGTAAAAGTATAGATTTTCTGTAATGACATTTATTAGGAGGTGACCTCCCCAAATGCAGAAATGACTGTTGTATTAAAATAATTAATTTATGCTTATAGTGTGCTTTTCAAGTCCCTCCGGACCCCAAAGCGCTTTACACTAACAGACATTCACCCATTCARACTCACATTCACACACTGATGATGGTAA